TCAGCGACACCAGAGAGACTTGATGAGAGACGGAGACTCGAGTCTCGCTTTCAGAGACTCTGAGAGACCGAACACGTTTTTCGCTGTGCAGGTCGAAATTGGATTCACGAAAAATTAGCTAATATCATTGAGCGACAAATTAATAGCGATAAATTATGTATGGTTCTTACATGCAGTATTTTTCTATTTTGAAATACATCATACTAGCTTGATATCAAGTTAGAACGCCGTATATTTGTCAGTAATCGGCTGGAGCGACAAACTTTTGGATTTGTTAGCAAATTAGAGGATAATTAGTGTATTTAGGAAACAAGAAATATAACTTTCTGTAGGTAATTTTTGAAAATGACCTACCTTTAAGTTAAAGCATATATTTGCCAGATTCTGATAATAAACTGGGAAACTCACACCATGTAGTTCTCTTTATTGTATTATTATCAAATCAATTTTGTAGTGCAAAAGCCGATTTCAATTTTTTATTAGGTATTTCATGATCTATATGGCAGACATCCCCCAAAAAACAAACACGAAAATCAACAGCACATGCTTTTGATAGAGAAACATTTCTTGTAACTGCTTTCGTATGTTATTTTCGCATAGGCAGGCGGTTTCTTTATAACGTGGGTATAATTAGTGACAAGATCGCTAATAAACGTTACAGAGGAAGAAACGTCATTAAGTATGTTCTTCGTTGGTGTTAATGAGGTAATTCAATAGCTAAGCACGTTCGGGCTTTTATATAACACAGACAAGTAGATGAAATGAATGGAACATTTACAAAACGTGAACGTCTATAAATCATACACCTTTACCATTCAAAAACCCTCCAGTAACACGAGGACAAAATTGAATGAAACACTTTGTAATATTTATATTCACCATGATAAATGAGTTAGATACATTTGGTTTTACTAATTGCTAGCTTATAAAACTGTCCTTTCAAGACTGTTTTTTGAGCACCGTGAACATTTATTGCTGTAGATGTTACATTTACGAGGGTGGATTGATAAGTTTCCAGCCTGACCAAGAAAAACAAGGTTTTTAAAAATTTTTTTTTTTTATTTCTCAACATAATCTCCTCCAAGGCTGATACATTTCTCATAGCGGTGTTCCAGTCTATTAATGCCATCTCNAAAAGTTATGGGGCTTCAAAGTTAATAAATATGCCAATTTTTATACATTTCTAGGCATGTAAATATTTATATAGTCATTCTTAAACAATATTCAAAGGTAAAACTAATGAAAAATACATAAAAATATTGAAAAAGTTATATACAATAGGGTAGGTGAGGTTAGGTTATCGGGTTTTGTTCAAGTGACCACCCTCTTTCGATCCCCCACCTCCACCCGCTTATTTTATTGAATTTTATTTGAATTATAGTGTATGAAAATTGTCAAAATAATCAACTTTCAACCCCCATAACTTTTTATGGGGGTGAGACCACCGCAAACTTTTTATGGGGTTTTACTCAGGTGATCACCCTCTTTCGATCCCCCCTTCCCCCGAAGGGTTGTGGGGCCATCATCTAACCTCAATAACTTTTTACGGGGGTGAGACCGCCACGAACTTTTTATGGTACATTGGTGTCTCCCATTTTTCGATACCCACCATAATCTAGACCTTTACCAATATCTGTTTCAACAATTTTCATGGCAAATTTTCAAATTTGAGTTCATTAAATAGTTATCGTTTTACTTTCTTAAGTGTTAACGGAAGGTTGTTTGCTTTAGTGCATTAATGTATGCCACGCTGTGAATATTTCAATTTAATATCAAAGTTTGTTTACTACAACTTCGGTTCTGTATTATGTTTTATGTTGTTGGTAATTGGCTGTTCAGGATTAGAGGTAAAATTAATTGAGTATCAGAAACTTCACGTTTGTTTCTTTGCTATAGCAATAAACAGTTATTTAACTAAAAATAACTTCCTCTACGCAGAAAATATTGCTGTCAAAGTCCTCTAAAATGTAAATATTCCGGCGTTATTAATAAAACGCACGAGAAATGCCTATCACGAAACAGGAAATCGTTGATGTCGACGTAATGGACAGGATGCCACATGATTCCGGTAAGTATTAAAAAAATATGATTACGATTAGCAGCCTTTAAGGAACGTACATATAGTGTACAAATTATGGCACCGTATGTATGTAAGCGATCAATTGTTTTCCGTTCATGTTAAACAGTTTCGTGCTGTGCAACAACAAATTGCTAAAACAACCTGTCGGTTCACCATAGGCGATATCACGGAATCATCAATATTGTGGTCGCAGGTCACCCCTTAAAGTCCGACTCAAAAATTATTTTAAATAGTATCAAGAATTATTCAAAATCACTATTTTAAACAATTCCTAACAAGAAACTTTAGTAAAATACATAAAAATATTGAGAAAGTTATATAAAACATTATTTAAATAGCCCTATCATTAGGGTAGGTTAGATTAGGTTAGGTTAGGTTATCGAGTTTTGTTCAAGTGACCATCCTCTTTCGATCCCCCACCACCACCTGCTTGAAAATATTTTTTTTATTGAATTTTATTTGAACTATAGTGTGTGAAAATTATCAAAATAATCAGCTTTCAACCCCCATAACTTTTTATGGGGGTGAGACCGCCGCAATTTTTTTATGGAGTTTTACTCAGGTGACCACCCTCTTTCGATCCCCTCTACCCCCACCCCCATCTAACCCCCATAACTATTTATTTTTAAATAAAATTTATATAGTGTATTGATATGAAAACTACTTTTCAAATATGCATTTACATTTCATAAATAGTTTTTCCTTTTATTCCTTATTTTCATTTAAGTTATCCTTGGTAAGCATTTTCAAAAGGTGTCACCGGTATAATATATGTGTGCTAGTACGTGATATCCCTGCTCCATATTTCACGCTTCCGTAAATTAATCTTGTGCGGGTTTTAACAGATCACACTTTTGCGAAACGCGTTACCCACTTCTCATTAATTTAATTTCAACTGAACAAAGTAGAACTCCAGAGTCAATTAAAAGAGTCGTATTAATTTATGTCATACATGCAGAGTAGCTGTTGCAGAGACAGAGCGCAATGGGTAGGCATATCACGTAGAGCTTAGGGCGATACCGAAGAAAAAGCGTTTACTCTATGAAAACGTCGTCCTGGATTTTGCAACAAACCGAAAGAAAATCGTTGGTTAATACTCAACAGAATTCAAATAAGGGAGAATGCCACAAAGGTGACAACAACTTCGATAAAAATCTATAGTCTATCTATCTATCTATCTCTATCTATCTATAATCTATAATCGAGGATGATGAAAAGCAAAACTTCAACCTTTACTAGGTATCCTGTCGAATCCTAATTAGTAACGGATACGCCGGGTATTAGGCACCCATCCTATCTCTACGATTAGACACAACTAACACTAAATTTTATCGATAAAAATGAAATACAGTCTAAACTCTTTACAACGTCACTCGTTTTTAACTCCTTAAAACGTCGAAATTTCTTTACTTTGGTTGGTTTACATTGTTTTCTATACAATATTACACTCTATATAGCGTCACGCTCACTCTATTTTAACGACAACAATGCGGCATTATAAATCATTGAGCAGTACTTTCTAAGTTGCCGCAATAGATAAGAACTGCAGCTGTGTACGTTGTTGAAGAAGACGATCCTGTCCCTCCACCAAGCATCAAACAAGCACTTGATGCAGCGAAACTATTAAAAAAATACTTTTTATATAATCCAATTGATCCAGCAGTATCTCAAGATAGGAGTAAGATACGTAACAAAATACAATTAAAATATTGGAGCAGCAAAAAACACCAGACGAAGAAGCAAGCTATACGCAATGCATAAATAATAATGTTCGTTTGCAAAATGTGTACTATATTGGTAAATGCATTTTATTATAGAATAGTAAAATAATATCTTTTATTTCTCTCCATTTAACGACTACTCTTTATAACGCCGAAAAATGTTCAGTCCCTTAAGTGTCGTTGCCTAAAAAGTCAAAATAGTAGATCGAAAGTGAAACGTATGCCACTCCAAGATTTGAGTAAGTGGTATCATATGAACGGGTTGTGTCTAGGCATATAATTCTAAGCATTTTATTATTATTTTAATCTGGAATAGAAGTGCTGCGCTATTTACAGTAAAATTCTGTTATAACGGCGGCCGCTACAGCCGAAGAACACTATAAGTAATTTATGTACTTATTTTATACAAATATATGTACACTATACAGGTAGTGTATAGGTGCATATGTATTTGATAGTTTAAGTAAACGTATAGAAAAACAATCAAATACGTACTTTAAGAATGCTTTATCAAGAACCTCTATCAAGAAACTAAAAATTAGACGGGCATTTGGACAAGAATAAGAAATAGAGCAAAAACAAGGTAGGAGTAATTGGTCAGGATTCTCCTGAGCAATCCTCTTTCTTTCCCGTTTTACAGGGCTACGACTCCAAATTCGAAAAACATTTTCTACGAGCTAATCTCTTTTCCGTCATTAAAAGAGTGATCACACGAGTGTCCGCCCTTTAAATCGAAATGCTTCTGTGTACGGTAAACAAAATGAACGAAACTGTTTACTCCAAAGAGCCGTTTTCTAAATGTAATGAATACAAATTGCACCAATTTCGCAGTTTCCGTTATAAAACGACGTTTTTGCGTAATAAACCAAATGGAGAATCGAAGTTTGCTGTTCTGGCGAAATAAAGAACGAATTTACATACATTTATATTTTTGTGCGACCAGATATGAGTACAAAATGTAGCTCTTCCAACTGTTCAAGTTTCAATATATTTCATTGAAAAAAAAATCGAACAATCATGCAGTTTCAGAAAAAATTGCGCCACAATTAATACTTCAAGTTACAAAAATTTGTTTAAATCTATGTTTATTTATCATTTGAAAACTTCTAACTTTAGGAAATACAATATGAAAAAATAAGTTTAAAACTTCTATAATCTATAAAAGGTTTAGGCTTTATTAAAATGATAAAAATACTCACCATTGCATAAACCGCCATTGCATATAATTTTATGAGGAGCCTGAAAATAAAAGTAAATATTTAAATTATGCGAAGTATTCCAGAGCATATTTAAATATTTTTCGCACCTCTCCCTTACATTGTGGGGAATGAAGCCCAGAACAAAAGTTTAAAGTTTTACATATACGTATATCAGATTATCAGATAACAGTTATTGTCTATTTTTTTAAGAGTATTTTGTATAATAGGGTTAGAAAAGTATACGAAAATTGTCATTGGGGCAATCAATGTTGACAGATGGGCAAAGTATGCACAAAGCTGAGGGCTTAACAGGCGTAAATTTTATGGAATATTCCTTGCAATTAAAATAACTTGCCTACCTAGTAACGGCGACTTTATGCTAATCAGTTTGATTTACGTTTAGGTACGACTGACACCTTAATTGGAATGTAATTAGATCTTTTAACGTTTAAGTGCACAAACGACTACAACTTTAATTACAAAACTAGAACGTTTAAAATAATACAAAATTATACTAGTTGCAACAAAAGTGTATAGGTACTAAAAATAAGACATTTTGTAAAGTGCCAAAATCCACATTCATCGTTTTTGTAGACAACACCGATTAATTTTAGGTTTATCGTTTATATTATTAGAGAACTATTAATTTAGCCAAGTCCTTAGTAAATTAATACCGTTCTGTAGCATTAGAATTTATTCGTAACTGTTTATTGAAAATAAATTATTTGAACTGTCAGTCAGAATGTAGTAGGTAGTTTATATTTTACATCTTAACTTTATTTGAGAAAACGCCTACATAGTAATTTCGAAAAATATGTTGTACCTACAGTTATATTTAGAGTCTTCATTAAATTTTTATTGAAAATTTGTAATACAAAAAAAAAACAGTTAAGGTTTCTTCTTTAATTCCATAATTAAAAACTGAAACGCTTTGGGACTGAACCCAAACTGTTGAGCTTTAATTTGGAATAAAATTAGGTGCATCCCTCTCTGACTCCCTTCCTAATATTTACTTCTCTACATTGCATCCCTAGCTCTATAACTGCCTGTTGCTCTTTATACAAACTAAGTATCACTCTTCTATCTTTGAAACTCATCCCTACATTTTTAAGAATATTTAACATCTTGTCCCATTTCATCATCATCCTAAGACTGGTTGGACACGTACCTCCACTCTTTCCTATCCTGAGCTAAACTTCGCATTTCCCTAAAACTAGAACAACCCACATCCTGAACTATTTGCGAACAGTAATCTAATCTACGTCTACCTCTACCCCTCCTAACTCCTGTTTCTACCTCTAATATGTCTCTGACTAGACCTTTATGCCTCATTTTTATTGACTTCCATAGAGTCCTCTGTTCTCCTATTCTTTCCAATACCTCTTCATTTCTAACCTTTTCTACCCACGATATCCTCATCATCCGCCTATAACACCACATTTCGAACGCTTCTAACCTT